GCGGTTAAAATTAACTAAAACTTTACAGAATAGACCCCATAGTCCTACTTCTATGTTTTCGTTTTTACTTTATCTTGTCTTTTATTTTCTCTGTAATTTGTTATCTGTTTTCCCTAATTTTCTTTGTCTCGTAACTTATATATACCTGTAAACCATTAGTGCAATTCAAATATCATTAGTGATCTGCCTCGGTTATATTGAACCCATACTAAATCATCTCTTATAATATAATTAAGTAATAGTACATAGGTATTCAGTAGATTTCTTTTCGTTGTTTCTCAATTCTTTTTATTAGTCACTTGACCATGACATCCAAACGAGTCATAAAACATTTTTATTTTGTGAATTGTCTAAGCTATTTAATTTATTTAACAATTAATTAACTTTAAAAAATTGTTATTTTACACTTATATTTAATTAAGTGTGTGTACTATTTTTTTCTTGTAAAAAATACAAATTTTAGCCCAGAAATATCTCTACGAGCAATTTAGTAATTCTTAACATTGTTAACGTAGTAGATTGTGCGACAAGTGTGCAAATCTATATAGCTCCTCATCTAACTGCAAAAAGTGACAGGTCGTGTTTTTTTCTTGCTATTTGTAATTTGGTACAGGGGGATTTGTAGTTTGGTAGCCTGTCAAATTCAAAATAATGTTTCTTATCGATTAAGTTTTTCGTTTTTTGCTGGAACTGAGATAATTTGCTTCTAGACATCTGTAACGATAAAAAATTCCCTTTGCAAGCATTTTTCCTGTTCTGGTTTTGCTATATTTGGTTAAATGTAGGGATTTCCCTTAGACTAGGTAATAAAGAGAGGACTCATAACGCCTCCTGAAAATCTTGTGCCATTCTGACACCAACGATATTTGACCAAAGGCGTAACATGTTGGAATTAAAAAAACGAACTTGTATTTATGTTATTAGTACTTCATTGATCTTTTTAGGCATAAAGCAAGTTCAAAGCGTAAAATTTAAAATAAATAAGACACAAGAAAAAAATATATTGAAATAAACTGAATGAAATCGTTTACATAATAAGATGAGTGTTTTTCTTTTTTTAATTCCGCAAAATAAAACATAATGATCTACATGTATTACAAAAAGATTTATTTTTACTTAATAAAGAATGACACTACCCATATAGCACAGACACGTTTTAAAGACATCTTAAATACGTCCGTTTACGACGTTCGTGACGTTTTGAAGATCTTCTCTTATATCCAAAAGATGTTTTAAAGGCGTATATAGGACGTACTTTGTTACAAAATAAGGCGTCTTTAGGACATCTAATTTTGTCCCAGATAACACAAATACGTCTTATGGACGTTCTAAAAACGTCCTGCTTGGACATTCAGGACATCCTTAAAACGTCCATTTCACGGCCGTGGACGTCTTATGGACGTATTTGGAACGTCCATTGTTAATAATCAGGATGTCTTAAGAACGTCCATTTAAGGACATTCCATGGACATTTTCAAAAGTTCAAATGGGGAATAATAGGATGTAAGGAAATAAGTGAAAATAATGAATATTTTCAAAAAAATTTATTTGGAAGCAAATAACCTATAAATAGTGAAATTATTAAAACTTTTTCGTCTCTCCTCTACTTTGCTCTTTTCAATCATGCCTGGATTGAGAGCAGTTGTTTTTTTTTCTTTTTGATTTGGCCATATTTACCTTCCCAGTTGAACCTGAAAATAATTTAATCACTTATTCAAAATTCAGATCAATATGAAAATCCAATCTGTTTGTTTAAGTTTGCCTTGCTAGACATTATGAATTCACTAACCTTTTAGCTTTGTAGTATTCACTGGAAAACTCCTCTACTTTGCTCTTTTCAACCATGCCTGGATTGACAGCAGTTATTTTTTTTCTTCTTGATTTGGTCATATTTGCCTTCTCAGTTAAACCTGAAAATAATTTAATCGCTTATTCAAAATGAAAGGCAGATCAATATGAAAATTCAATATGTTGGTTTAAGTTTGCCCTGCTAGACATTATGTATTCACTAACCTTTTAGCTATGTAGTATTCACTTAAAAACTCCTCTACTTTGCTCTTTTCAACCATACCTGGATTGACAGCAGTCAGTTTTTATCTTGATTTGGTCATAATTGCCTTCTCAACTGAATCTGAAAATAATTTAATCGCTTATTCAAAATAAAAGGCATATCAAAATTAAAATCCAATTTGTTTGTTTCAGTTTGCCTTGCTAGACATTATAAATTCACTAACCTTTTAGCTTTGAAAAACTTCCACCTTTCTCAGATATAAAAATGGTACAAATGGCGGAATGATAGAACTTGTACTCGTATAATATGTATATACCATCGAATCGTGAACATTGAACACTTTTTTTTAATAAAACCTGAGCCGTGGGAATATTTCACTTCAGTGCTTGTGGCTTGAATCTGAATCATATCTAAATAAATAAAAAGTCACTTGTCAACAATGTCACTTTCTTGCAAAAGATCTTCGTTTTTGTCTATTTGGCCTTCATTCAATTGGATATTGGGACAATGCCATCTTTAATAATTATTTATATTATCTCATTATATATATATATATGTTTTTTGTATAATATAACCAAATAATAATACAATGCGAATGTGAATCCATGGAAATATAGTAAAGCACGTACAATTGACGTTTTGCGGATATCTATTTCTGGACGTCCAGAGGATTTACTAAACTGGACATACTTAAAACGTCCATAATAGGTCCCGGACGTACAGAAGTTAAATGGACATGTATTGGACGTCATTAGGACGTCCTGTGCTATCTGGGGTACGTCTTTAAGAAATCCAGTTTCGTAAATCTTGAAGACAAACCGTATTGGGCGTGTTTAAGTCGTCTATTTACTTGATGGAGATTCGTTTAAAAAAATAAATGAATACTTGTCTACTATATTTAATACTGTTTATTACACATTATTAAACTATTAAAACTGACACAGAATAAATATTATTTTACAGTGTTGGATAAAATAATTAAAAAATGACTTCAAGTACTTGTTGCCATGAGAAACTATTCCAGTTTGGTCGATTTAAAAATTACTTTTATGGTATTAATTTTAGCCAAAGCGTCTGTAACTAATGTCTCTGTAGCGTATAATTTTGTTGAGTATTGTTTGTGGTGTTTTTCTAAAAAATAAGACATTATTAAAGTGAGGTTATGAAATTAAAAGGCAAATAAATTAAAACACCCTTTTTAATGATAAAGTTTACTAGTTCCGGTATACCACAGTTCCAATAATGGCAAATAAATATAAAAAGACAATATATGAAAACACACAACCACGAAAACGTAATGACAATGTCCACAGACTGACACTAAAAATATTATATAGAAGAAGGCAGCTAGAGGAAGAACACGACTCGATACGCGCGCGCAAGACTCCAATCAGCCAACAACAATGACGAATGACGATCTACATGCGCTGCAGATAGCGCCAAGAACGCTGTCGTGGCGCCATAATCAAATATAGCGAAAAGAGTTGAACGTCCACATTACCGACATATTTAAAACATCCTAAAAAAATCCCAACAAAGACGTCTTAAACATGTCCTGAGCAGGGCGTCTTAAAACCATCCGTTTTACGCTAGGATGTTTGGCCATTTTAATATCATCAATTGCTTAAATATCAATGAAAAGCATAAAATAAACAAACTTGGTGGGTAAAATTTATTACTCTGGAGTGAGACATGTACAATATGTAAATACCAAATTGTATAACACCAAATAAAATGAAAAATATAAGAAAATATATAAAGTGAAACGATTGTTGTTTATCAATTACCTGTAAAACGTAATATATGTATGCTTGTTTTTTACCGCTATAACTTTAACATTGATATGTCACACAATAAACCATTGTAATAAACCAATTATTAAATGTCGTTTAATTCAAAAATCAGAAATAAACACGAACAAAAACTTTGGTGTCACCGAAATGATTAGCCCTAAAATAATGGCGGCCAATAGATAATCGGCACAGAATACTACGTGTGCTCGATATACTTGTTGCGCGTCCTCTCTTTATTACCTAGTCTAAGGGATTTCCCTACATCAAAAGTATAAAAACCGGATGACAGAAAATTCTTGCAAATGGATTTTTATTATTATAGACCTCCAGAAATACATTATCTTATTGCCAGCAAAAAACGATAAGAAACATTATTTGATTTTGACAGCTCCCACCATAGGGACAAATTACATGTTGTTCACTCCCTCCCCTGTATCCAACTACAAATAGCAAGCAGTGCTTTACTCCGTTGTTGAACTCAATAACTTTTCTACTACTACACTTTTTTATAGATTAAAAATTATAGGTATGTACTCGTATATACAGTGTGTCTATGTAAGTTAAATACGTATGGAAAACTTTTTTATTATTAGTTTTATCAAAAAAAAAATATTCTTTATAAAACGTTCTGCATAGTCTGAAACTTAAAATTGAATCATCTGATTTGTTGAGTCGTATACGAGGTGTATACGTGGTGCGTCAAAAAAATATACATTTTGCTCAAGAGTAAAGTACCTTTATTTTTGACAAACCTCGTATACCACTGATAAAATTTGGTATCGGATGATTGAATTTTAGGTTTTAAGTCATGAAAAAGTTTTTATTAAGAATAACTTTTTTCCTAAAATTAATAATAAAAAAGTTTTCCATATGCTGCTGACTTACATAGACACACTGTATATACAAGTACATACCTAAAATTTATAATATATAAAAAAGTGTAGTAGTAGAAAAAAATTACTAGAAACATAGTAATTATAAGCTTACAGAAATATGACAAATGTAAAATTCAAATGATGCAAGGATGTAATATCTTGAAAAACTAGCAGGTCTAACTGAATCTGGAATATTTTTAATCTCGTAGGAAAAATACATCAAACTGCTACATTTCCTGATTTAACAAAATAAAACAAATCATTCTTATTCAATGTTAAAAAATATTTTGTATACATAATTATTTTTTTTTTATTTTTCAGGAAGAAATTTTCCAAAATGGAACGTCCCAGCGACCTTGAACTACGAAGACAACAATTCAAAACACAACCCTCGACAGTACAAACTAGAAGACAGCAAGCTGTGTGTGTAAGAAGAGCATGTAAAAAATATGGGACCAAGAGTAACCCATATGTTATCTTGGATAATCTCAATATGACTGTACCTAAAGGATGTATGTAAGTATCAAGAAAAAAATTAAAATATATTATTTATTTTGTTGGTTATAAGGAAAATGCTCTTCTGTGATTTTGGTTGTATCTAAAGTTGGAAAAACAACAAAATCCTACTAATTTAAGGTACTTTGTAAATTTCTAGCTAGAATTAGGGAGATTAATTCAAAAGTTTAAATAATTTCAAAATAGAAAGAATTACGTTTCTGCACTCCATGTACACTCCACATTTCTGGAAATAATTATTAATAAGTCTTTCGTTTGAACTGTTAAACATTCTTAATTTACTTCCAATTTTTGAGTATAAATTTGAGTCATCTGTTCTCTGATGGTGACTATTTATTTCGTGATGTAGGTTCTTCATAGAAGTAATAGGATTCATGCTAAACTTTATTTTTACTTAGTACAGAAAACAGTATACAAAAAAAATAGCATACTTGTGTTAATGTGGGAACTTTGGTTTAGAAATAAAAATTCCGCCTTCACCCATCTGTTTAATGGATGAACGTTTATTTTTATTAAATAAAATATGCTAATACATAAGTATATCGCAAATGGGTTGCCTAAGAATATACGGTCACTGCCATTTTTTACTTTCCATTCTGTATACAGATAAGGAAAGTATAGGAATCATAATAAAAGTTGCTTGTGATCTCATTCTCTATAATTTTGTCCCCAAACATGATTTCCCTAAAATGGACATAATTCGAGATATTTGAGGAAAAGTGAAAATTTCGAATTTTGAAGATAACTCATAAACGGATGAAGAGAAAAAACCAAATTTTAAACTTAAGCTTTAATCCATCCTGCGGTGAGCTCATTACATTTTGTGTATAGTCGAATCATCTGGGGGGTACTTTATAGAGTGTCGTTTTTTCTACTTAAGGAATATCACTGTTATTTGCGAATAAAGAAGAACATTCTTTAAATAAAAGTGGTTGCTGATATCATTTTCTATAATTTTTGTTTTATACATGAGTTTTCTAAAATTAAAAATTAGAGGAAAAGTGGTAAATTTTATTTTTTTTTATATTTTCGTTCGCAGTCAATGTATATAAAAATGTTTCGAGTAGAATGGGTGTGGAAAATGTATGTATGTAGGTCCATCCTCTTAACAGGGGTGACATTATAGGTGACCGGAAAAGGCATAGAATGTGTAACAGTCATATGGAATAAATTCAGTAGCTCAATTACTGTGCATATTTATAAAAATTCCCGAAACACGTCAATTTTAGATTATAAAATGACATTATTCATATCTCTTCGAGTAACAGTTGCAATCCCCAAATTTATAAATAGGAGGCAGGCGCTTGTGATACTTCATTTGGAAGGTCCCTTCATTCTCTATTCAAAAATGATGTGGTTTTAGAATTTATTGAAAAAATTAGGAAAAATACATCAAAACATGAACGGGCCAATTTTTTAAATTTTTTGTTTTTAGACCATTTTAGACCATTTTCTACCCTCTAACACACTTTTTTGAATACATTTTTCGCCTTGAAACCCCTTGAAATTAATTTTTTTCTTGCCCTAAATGTCCAAATGTCTCATCCAATCACGATCCTAAAATCACATGAATTGCATCATTTTGATTGATTTTTTGTAAAAAAACTGCTAAATATCAATATAAGACTCTCCATAGAGCAATAAAACATGCAAAATGTTTTCGTAAACCCTTATAATTTCTTTGTATTTGACAAAATTTTAAAACTGTTGGTTACTTCGGAGTGACAATTTATCTACTGTCAGTACTGTAGTTTGAAAACATCTAAAAAATACAATTTTGTCAGATCAATTCGAACATATCAATCGTCATGTTACCTGTTTCCTTTCGATTTTAGAAAAATTGCATAAAACTAACGATTTAAAAATTGTCAATATCTTCTTCCTCGTTCTCATCCGCATAGTACTCTTCTGCATCGATATTGACATTTTCTAAATTGCAAGGATTATTCAATTTTCCTGCCAGTTTTAAAAACTCTTCAACTCGATAAGTATTAGGCATTCCAACGACCTATCCAAATGGCTACCAGTGGGGACTGACAGTTTAGATATGGCAACCCTGTTGTCATGTTGTTATTAACAGGATCACGATGATGTCATTCACCGGGAACAGGGTCAATAATACATATATAGTTATATAGATTGCTCAAATCTGGTCGTTTGCGTGCGGCCATATTGCCTGGCAAATATTTATTAATTTGAATCGGTTTAGCAAAAGTGAGTTTTATTTTTAGCTTTTAGATATTTAAAAAAATAATAATTGCTTACATTTTTACTTCAAGGTATAAGCTTGTTTATTTTGATGATCAATCTATGTGACTGTCTATTTCATTGACCTTGTTAAATAACCAGGCCTACAGGGTTGCCATAATTTTGCTATATTATAACACGTCAAAACCCACTGGTAGCCATTCCGTTTGGAATGCCTAATTGTCAAGTTGACAGCGTTTGTAAAACATGTATTGAACCAAATTGCCCGGTATGTGAGCTTGTAACGTGATCTTGTTATTTTATCTATTTTTATAGTGTTTTAAGCTCTTATGATTTTGGGGAGTGGGTTAGGTTATTAAACAACTCGTATTACTTTGAAAAAGAATGTTGAGCGGCACTATATTTAAAACTTACTAAACTTGACTATAGATTAGTGATGAAAATATAGAAAATTACTAACCAATAAGATATTATAAATAAATAAGGTTTCAGATAAGGTAGCGACAAATTCTAATTCACAGAGACTTACTTATTCAAATTTAAATGATTTATTCAAGACTTATCTGTTAAATAATAGGTAGTATTTAAGGAGAGACTTGTAGAGGCCTTCTTCAAGGGGATTCGTATGATATACTTCGGATATCACCAACTCTTAAGTATAAATATTCATAGGTAAACTTAAATCTCATTAACTTCTTTAGATGACTCGAACTAAACCTCTTGATATACTTGAAATAAACTTATGTAGCTGGAACTAAACTTCTAAGTTTCTATACTTCTAAACATCAAAACATGCAGCTTGAACTTTCTTCTAAACTTCTAAACAATCTCTTTAGATATAACTCCTACAGAACCATCTAGATACAGCCAGGCTACAAGGAAAAAGGTAAAAATATCAAGAAAGGGACTAGAAAGTTTATATAGGAAACAGATAAGTTGCTTTTTACTATTAAATGAACAATTTAAATTATTAAATGAATAGCTTCACAGAGACCAAAATTAATATGAAAAGGAAAAATCTTATTTGACATATTTAAATATAGTAAAGCATATTATCTCTTTCCTAACAAAATAATAGATAAAATTATATAAAACATGTGAGTCTTGTGTCACTCAATGTGTTGAGGTTATGTACAATACTTGACATTTTCAACAAAATATCGGTAGAAAACTTACCTTTTTAAAATCAGACGGTCATTAAAAATATTAAAGACAATTAGTACATCGGATGTCCAAGATAAAAGATAATTACAAATTCAAATCAACTTGCTTGTTGACAGAGACGAATTGAAATGACAATCCAAGTTTTGACACAAGGCATAAACGACAAATGACGTTAGGGTAGAGATGTTTGCGTCAAAATAACGAAAACGGTTTCAACCGTTACAATGTTTGGGTCTAAATAACAAAAACGGTTTCAACCGTTACAAGCTTTTTTCTGCCATTTGACAATGTAACAGCCTTCGCATGCCTCCACGAAGACTCAATAGCATTGGTATGGGAGCCAGTATCGGGATCTTTAAAAGAGATTGAATGATTTACAGTCAGATGGTGATATCCATGGTCACCGAGGGAACTGTATGTTTTCCAGCAATCAGAATAGATAATGGTGCCCTTTTCAATCCATTTTTCATTCATTCTGTGCGGAGGAGGACGAAACCTCCATTTACATCCTAACTGAATGTGTAGTACTCCAGAATTCAAGGGCACTATATCTAGGAGGATATCAAATAAAAGAGGGAGATTTACCTAACTTAAAGCCACTTCAAATCCTACACTTCCTTGAGAAAATAGAATTGAAAGGGTCGTTATAGGCATTAAGACATTTAACTAGTGCATTGGCGACAGAAGGGGGCACAATAGATCTTTTAGGTCGCAGTGTATTAACACCCCATTCTCAACATAACATAACATCCATTTTTCAATAAGAGGGATAAGGGTATCACTATCTCTTTTTTCGACAGCAACCATGAATACTCTTACAGTTCCTCTTTCAAAACCTCCAAAAACCCACTGTCCTTCGACATAATGGCCTCGATGATATTTTCGTTCACCGAATTTTGATTCGTCCATCTCGACAATCATGCCGGGGCCACCAAGTTTTTAGGTGTTTGCAAGCAGAATTGTAGAACCACCTCCCTGCAAAAACTCGTCCAATCTACAACTGTTCTCTTGTTGAACTTCAATCCAGATATACGTCAAAAGCATATTTCTCACCCAGAAATTGATGAATCCGAGAACTTTAAGAAATGGAAATTTTGGCAGAAAAAAAAATGTGCCTTTTTTTAACGAGAACTTGCATCTTTGTGCCTTTGCCTTAGGCTTTGAATTAAATTTCCTACAATACCGATACCATCGATCAGGACTATTTATTATTAATAGATTCCACAATGTAAGGGTAGAAACAATCACTATGACCTAGCTAGTTTTTCGTGCTTTGTCATACATATTTTTATTTTTACCAAGTTACTTACCACTTTATACTTTTTAATAATTATATTTTATATGTTCAACCTACATTCTGTCCTTTTAAATACTTTATTTTCTACTTTTTAGTACCTCTATTACCTACCTACTTTTACCATTTTACCACGTTATACTTTTTAATAATTATATTTTATATATTCAACTCACATTTTGTACTTTTAAATACTTTATTTTTTACTTTTTAATACTTTTATTACCTACCTACTTTTTTGTACTTTGTCATACTGATTTTTGCTTTTACCAAGTTACCACGTTACTTTTTGTACACACTGTATAATTAAATAAACACTTCTGAATTATAACGATTTTTCTTAATATTTATTTTATCCCAATTATTGACCTATAGAACAAAACTTAATGGCTACAGTAGGTACGTCTCTGCGTAGAGACGGCCGCCTGCTGATAAGTAAATTACCTGCTGTTTTATGATAGTCACTAGATCTCTGGTTTAACTATACTTGTATTTTTTTGGCAGTTCTGCAGCTCTACAACACTTATGTATCAGCCGCCACTGGAAAAATCTCTTTTTTTACTGCTCCCGTAGGAAAAGTGTTTTTTAGTCTTTTTTATTTTCTCATTTTTAATCACTACTTTGTTTTATAATAAATTTTAATCCAACAACCTATTGGAATATACATATTTGATAATAAAATTACGATTAATCGTTATTAGTTATTTAATTTTGTTTTATTTTGTTTTTCAGATATGGTTTATTGGGTGCCAGTGGCTGTGGTAAAACGACTTTGCTTAATTGTATAGTAGGAAGAAAAAGACTTAATTCGGGTGAACTCTGGGTCTTGGGAGGCACTCCTGGATCTAGAGGAAGTGGTGTTCCTGGACCTAGAGTAGGATATATGCCTCAGGTAAATAATAGTTCTTAGTAATTGGTAATACGAGTATAATACCTATACATTCTGCAAAATCATACTATTGAAACGTTTATTTTGCTAAACAGTTTATTTATTTTTACCAAGATACTAATTTATTTATTAACTCAATATACATATTCGGAAATTAAAATGCAACCCATATAAGCCAAATCTTCGTAAGTGCGAGTGAATAGGAAGTCGTATGTACCGTTCGCGAGGCCACGAAATAAGCAATACGCTGCTCAGTTGTCTCTTTGTCTCACGCGTGCTAATATTATACCTTGTCCAATTCATTGTAAAATAAGGACCGCGTTCAGATTTCCCTACCTGTATTTAAACTAAGTTCTAATTTATATCTCTTACTGGTAGACTAATTTATATTGAAAATATTATTTAACATGATATATAACTAAAAATTGACTTAACACGTTCCTTGCCAAGTCGGTCAAAATGACCGAAACGTGTTATACCGTATCAGGCCGCGTCGGTCATTATGACCGAAAAATCAGTCGATCCTTTGCGTGCTTCTAGAGCGCCGCCGGTCACAAGCTATACGATGCTGTGCATAGGGCGTGACCGAAACGGCCTGGAGAGCAAAAAGCACATAAAAACTTTTTTGATTTTTTAATTATTTTACCTTTTTTTAAATTATTTTACCTTTTTTTTTAATTGGTTAGCTAAACACATTGTTTTAATAATAAAATGTATTGTTTAATATATAATATTAAAATAACTACAAAAGTAATGATATAATCTAAAATGAAAGGGTTTTTATAAATATTTAAATATTTTTGTGAATTCTGTTGTAGCACTCCAGGCATAGGAATGGTTCATTCAGACATCCCGAACAGAACGTAGTCACTTTCTTTACCTTCCTTCTTTCCCTAGGCTCTTTTCCATCTTGGACTGCTTTTTCATAGCAACCCTTGCAATGTTTTCTTACTGCAACGGCTCTTCCTTCTTTTTTTAACAAATTATGGCGGACTCTTCGTGGTCTCTCTTGTTCTATTCTTGCCTGTTGTTGATGTTGCTCGTCGTCGCTTGAAATTAAATGTCGGACTACTTCTTTTCGAAAATCAACAATACCTATAGTGTTGCCCGTGCATTCTTTGTATAAAATATGGGCATTGACCACAGCTGTTGATAGCAGTAACTCAATTGCCAATTTTTTATACCACTTTACAGATTTTCGAAGAGGTGAAGAGTAGGATGCCATTTGGTCCGATAAATCCACAGAAGATTTTGCCTTATTATAGTCAATTACAACGGTAGGTTTAATAATATTTTCACCATTCCTTTTAGTTATTTCAACGGTTTCATTCGAGTGTTTGGTTGATAACATAATAACGTTTCTTTTGTCCTTCCAATTAAGAACGGTGATTCCTCTGCCATTTTCTTTTGCAATCATTTCACCTTTTTTCATGTTGTGTTTTTGGGTAACTTCTTTCGGCACATTTGTTTTATTTTTTCTCAGTGTTCCGACTAAGTGTGTTCTTTTATCTAAAAGCTGGTTAGCAAGATCCATATTAGTGTACCAGTTGTCAGTATACACAGTACGTCCTACATTTAAGACAGATTCGCATAATTCCATCACCACGCTTGTTGGTGTTGTCTTTCTCACTTCAAGGTTTTTTCCAGCATATATTTTTAGACGTAGTGTATACCCATGTCCGGAACATAGCTTGAACAGCTTGATACCATATTTATGGCGCTTTTGTTTCATATATTGACGCATAATTAGCCTACCTCTAAAAGGAATTAACGACTCGTCAACACATACTGTTTCTCCCGGATGATAAAGAGCCTCAAAATTCTGCACAAGTCTATCGACAAGACCTTGAATTTTATGTAATCTGTCTCCTTCTCTGCATTCATCATTGTTGGCAAAATGAATCATACGCAATAGAATTTCAAATCTATTTCGAGACATCACTTTGGGTGCAAACTCGTTTTTGAAAATGGGATCTCTGCTCCAATAATCTTTCAAAAATGGCATTTTTACTAATCCCATGTAAACAATTAATCCAAAGAACCGCTTCATTTCCGCAGAACTTGTAGGATCCCACTGATGAAGTCGTGAGGAGGCAGAGACGTTTGAACTATTTTCTATCTTCTGAGTAGCGTAGATATTGGTTTGATCAGCAATCATTTTGAAAATAGAATTATCAACAACTGCCATGTAAAAATCTCCAGGTTTGCCCTGTACTAATTCTCCAATTACTGCCGGGCTCACTCCAAAATATTCTCGAAAATTTCCAAACTGAATCTGTTGGCGGCGAGGTAAGTACCAGGAATCATTATTTCCACGTTGTACTTGCATATATTCTCTACTGAGATCGTCTTCTGAAGAATATGAAGGGATGTTCCGGTTCTGTGCAAATTGATTGTTGTTACTGTTTATTTTTCTGAATGATGTACTGGGTACAGACAAATCTGAAGTACTGGCACTGGAGCTTTTGGAAGCCATTATCACACCAGACTTTTTACGTTTTTCTTGTGGGTGATCCCCTGACGATTGACTGCAAGACGATTCGCCTGAAAAGTTAAAAAATTTTATTAGCGAATTTACAGGACTTTATAATATTTATTTATACTGGCATATTGTTGGTATCTTACCTTCTGAACTGGGTACAAAATTTCTGTCTTCAACCGAGTCATCAGTATCTTCGTCAGACATATCAAACATTTGCATCATTTCTGATTCCGTAAGATTTTTATCATCACGAATAAACGCAAGTTTTCGTTTAGGCATATTGCAAAAATAAGCGAACTAAATTTCAATAAAATAAAAACTGTTTTACGTACGTACGAAACTAAAAATCGTGTAGTCTGCCTGGCAACTTATAACGTACTAAAACAAGTCACAATTATCGAAAACGTCGCGAACCCCACTCCTCTGACCACGCAAACAATATTCAAGCTCAAAAACACGGAGCTTTTAGGTGACCGAAGCCGTGACCGACCCGGCTCAGCACGATCAAGTTAACTGCGCTACGCCGCGTCGGTCATTTTGACCGAAAGCTCTAAATATTGGATACATTTAATTATCGATAGCGTATGATATTAAAATACAAATATTTTAGTTTAGTTCATCACTTAGCAATGAAAAAACATTTTGGCGCTGAGCGACCAAATCGCTCATAATACATTGGCAGGGAACGTGTTAAACTGCGAAACAGCGTATTTACATGCATATAATATGTAGGCGTTTCTAGAACATTCCATACGTTCTATCGATACGTTCCATAGAGGTTGACTTATTTCATCGAATATTTTTGATGACAGGAAAAATGGAGGCCGTAGTGGGTCCAAATAAGGCAGAGAGGGACTTAAGGGATTAGAGCATGACCGGACTGGTCCTATGATATTGCTACCTCCTTAAGAGATAGTTCAGTCTAAACATTTTACAGAACTGCAACTGAATGGATGTATATGCAACTAGATTGTCATTTAGAATTTTCAGTTGTAAGTAAGTAACAAGGGTCTTCGCTGTAATCTGGACACTGGGCTTATGGCTGCAGACCAGTATTTTAACTTTGATATCAGTTAAGATTACTTACACTATTTCTTGAAGTTTAGCATCAGTTGGGCAACTTGAAGTATTTTAAAAACACCTTCCAAGTTTTTCAGATGTTCTTCAAATGTCCTCTCCAAGAGTATTATGTCTAAATACACTAGGCACGTTCTTCTAATTAACCCTCTCAACACGTCTATTAAATGTCGCGGGCGCATTACAGAATGGGAATGGCATGATAGTAAATTGCCACAATCCAGATCCGGTGGTAGAGACTGTATTTTCTTTGTCTATTGGGTCCATTTCTACATGCCAATAGCCAGACTTTAAGTCTCTAGTAGAAAGTAGTTTACTTTCGGTTAATGTGTCTAAAGAATTGTTAATTAACAGAAGAGAATAAATGTACTTCTTGGTTACATTGTTTAACTGACGATAGTCCACACATAATCTCGTAGTTCCATCCTCTTTCTGGACCAAGACTACCTGAGAGACCTTTCAATCCCTTCAACTTCCTATCACTCTTTGTCTGTGGTAATCTTCGAGCTGATTGACCAATCGGCCTGACGTCACCAGTGTCAATTTTATCTTTGACAACAGCCGTTCTTCCTGTTTTTCCTCCTTTTGGTATAAAAATATCACGGTAGAAATTTCTTTACTTTTTCTTCTCTATTTGATTTTGAGATTAACCAGCAATTGTAATCATTTGCTTGAATTATGAAAATTAGTAGTACACAGGTTCTGATTCTGATCTCTTTATTGATAGTAATTGGGTGATCATTAACGTACTGAAATTTCTTTAGCATACGTTACCAACCCTTTTGAGATCAGTATTCACCGATTTACCTCGTTATCATTGTTCCAAGGTTCCACCATGACAGGCTTTTCTTTTTCCATAGTTTCTTGTAGCCATGCTACTATAATGGTTTCACTTTTACCAGGTACCACTGTATCATCCTGTACAGCTACTGGCACAGTACTGTCCTCATATGTATAAAAGAACACCTCTTTGACACCAACTTTGGCCACTCTGTTCATAAAATCCAACTGGAAGTCATGTAAGTTCATTTTGTCTATTCCTAGAATGACATATTTTTACAAATTATGCAAATTTCCAAAGAAACAACAAAATGTTTGTGATTAAAATTTTGCAAGAAAATTATTGTAGAGTTTTAAAGTATTTTTAAAATTTACAAGTAAAAATATGTGAAACATTTGCAAGTAAAGTCTATGACAAAACACATAAAAAAGTAATAATATAAAATTATACAGTTATTTTTTTTTTCTTTATTTGTAAAGGGGTGGATAGAGTTTTATACAGTTGGCTTCTTTTTTCTTGTTTTCTTTTTGCTATAATAAAAACTGTGCTGCACTGCTTTTTTTTATAATCTGTTTTTCAAATGGACCATGTTACACTGCACTGGTTTCTTTAATATCCGGTTCTCGAATGGACCATGTCACAGGTCGGCGATGTTTTTTCTTA